ATTATTATTTTAACACTTAAGTTCCTTGCAATCCAAGTGAAATAAAAAAGTTAGCAGGGTATTATTATAGTAACTATATGGTAAACACTGCCACCTAATGCTCACAGAGTACTGTAGTAATTTACACTGGGCAAAAATTTGAAAAGGGGTTCTTAAGCACACTAGTAAGAGAAAATGCCAAAAACCTTCTTTTATGGAGCAGAGAAAGAACATAGTTGGCCAGGTGGAGCACAGAATTTCAATTTGCAAACTGAATGTAATTTTAAAGACTTTCAAAACATTTCAGTGTCACATTGCATAACAATCAAGACCCCTCCTAAAGCCCAAGGACGCTTCTACCACAGACCTCTACTGAATTTCAAAACCCTTGCTGTTACCAGTCAAAAAATCTTTCTCACAGTAGTTAACTAATTCCTATCCATTGCTCAGGCCATTACTATACTATAATCTACAATAACAAGAGTTAATTAAACAAAAGCTTACAGCTATTGTCCTGGTATACAAGGGCTTCATTACACAGAGGATATTCTTTACTTAAAGCTGTATTACTTTAAGCAACCAATACCAGATTTCTGTTCTTGCACCAAAAGAAACATACAGTCATTTGAAACAAGAAGGCAGCTCCACTGTTTTAGAATCAGCATTAAGTTAACAATCTCACTAATATTACACTCTTCCAGAAAGCAGCCAGAAGACATCATGTTTATGATACATCCAGACCACAAAGGCAGTCACAGAGATAGATAGACCTGAATTCAGGTCCAGATGCTGTCTAACTGTGTTAATGTGATTACAATGATATTCAAGCTCATATGATAGATCTTTTCTTCAGTCAAAAAAACAAAACCCAAAAAAACCCCTTAACAAGTCAGTATTATAACAGCCCCAAACTCAAGCATGGGAAAGCAGACACAGCAGTCTTTCAACATCAATGGCCAGGATGACTGTCTTCTCCAGTGCTGATGAGCAGTACAGATATCACATAGGACATGGACTTGTTCAGTAATTCATTCCTATTATCACAAAGCAATGCTCCAAAAAATCACCTCTTCCAGACACTTGCACTGAAGTTCATCTCAAAAATGGGACTAAACATGCTTCTCAGTTTCTAGGTTAAGGACTCTGAACAGAATGAAGAGAAATGGAATTTTAAGGCAGAAAATGATATATGTGATCCAGCAAGTTATTCATCAGTACAAGAAACATTGAGTGTTTCAGGAAATAAGCATTTCTAACATAGCAAACACTGCAGTCTGAGTTTTTCTTATTAATTTCAACAATATAAAAGCCAAGTAGAACATACAGGAGCTTCATCAGGAGATGCAGTGTGTCAAACTACACTCAGTTACTACCACCCAGTGGCAGCAGGGAAAAACATCAGAGTACCGACAGCATCTCACTTCCCTTTACATGGAACAAGTTGCCTACAGTTCACTTTTTGTCTTTTGGATCCTTCTGGAGGCTAGAGGTCAATTTTACCTGGTGGCAGAAGCATGCGAGAAGTGACTACCCTTCTGTAAAATTTAGGCTTTCGGTCTGTGTTGTCACAGAAAGTAAGGATTACCTATTTCTAGAACTGACAAGATCCATCTTGCACAATACTGCCGCACATATCCCTCCCATCTTCTTATGAGGCAAAGATTAACAGTTAGAAAATACAGCTAACATGATCTAATGAGTTGAAGTTTTTCTAACACTTATTTACATATGAAAGAAGTGCCACAGAATTGCAACAGCCCCACAGACCACTTGTTTTAGGAAGAAAATGTGCCTGCTGCAGGACTTTCTTCACATAGAAACCACCAGAACAAAGCAGATACTATTTAGGATATTTCATCCATGAGTGTTATAAAGCAGTCATGCTCAGATCCGCTCTAATGGCAGGACCCCACTGGAGAAGATCATCTTCCTATCTGATATTTTTTAAACAGTAATCATAGACAAACCATTAATTCGTAGATGAGTCTTTCTCTCTAAAAAGCCTAAGTTTCCACAGTTAACTAGTACACTGTGACATAGAGAGGCAGTCTAAGGTAAGGCTGCACAACAGGAGAGAAACACAAACGTTAAGGCACATATAGCCAGTTAGGTCAGACAGATTATGAGATACAAACTCACTTACTAGCTCTCATACCTTAGCTTTAATATCAGAGTAGCAACACTTTTTCCTTTCAATAAAAATTAAAAAAAGGTCACACACGAAACAGCTAACTTGATGGCGCCAAGGCTTTTATGAGAGGTTCCCAAAGCACGTTACTTCATAAAGAACAGTTGTAGGAAGTCTACAAGACACGGATACTGTAGTTTCAGACAGCAGACAGTCTGTAGTGATGCAGAGATATCACTATGCTATTTCAGAGCAACCTGAAAACAAGAGCTCTGTTTTCTTCTAGCTTCCTTTATAATTCGAGCACTATGAAGACTGTTAAGACTAAACAATAGTCCATTTGTAGCTCAAAGACAGGAATATGATTAAAAACAAATACCATTTTAGTTAATGAAATATTGATTCACTGTTAAATGTAACTAAATTTTCTAATTAACTTTTGCATCTGAAGTTTACAGTGAGAATGTTTCTTTTTTTAAACAAATGGATTTGTAAAAAATGCACTTCAAACTTTTTCCACTGCTTTCACAGACAATGTAAGCCAACCTTTAAGTACAGTTAAAGCACAGTCTGTATCAGTCAATTCTTTTCTTCTGGAATACTTAATTTTTGAGAGAGATTTTCTCTATTCTACCATTGTAAAAAAGACAACTGACACTGTAGTCACGAAGTTATGTTAAATGCATGTTTAATTGAACCACTGCTCTTCTTCAGCTGCAGTGATGCTATGCAATTTAGGATTGTTTTACTTAACCTGTTTTCACTCTTTAACTCCTGTTGTTTTGTATATTTTGAGTCTGCAAAACCAGAAGAAAGTTTCTGAACATTCACCACTGTTGAAACAGTAAAATAACTCGTTTCTATTACTCAGAGCCTTATAGGAGGTTAGTGGAATGAAAGTATAAACCTCAGAAGAATGGTAAGATCTGATCAGTCATTTATTCCAAATATTAGACCCATTTCCTTCACTTCTCATATACTAACCAGTCAACAAAGAATTCCAGGTAACCTTCATCTGGTTTCTCTAACTTCGGTGTCCCCATTTCAGCTTTTACACCTACCAAGATATCAGTGTGTCCCTGTTAAAGCAAAAAACATATTGCACAGCTGGAATTAGTTGTCACAGAACTACCCCTTTAAATTAAATGCCTATGGTAAGCTGTCATTTCTACCTTTCAGTTATCTGCACTGATCATTCTATCAGAGTGAACTTAAACTAACATTAGGGTTTTTTTAAAAAAGAAAGGCTTTAGAAGGACAATGTTAAGCCTAAGAAGATTCTTCAAATAATTACCGTACATATTAGCTTTCTCTAGGTTAAAACAACACTCTTAACATCCATGACTATTTCTATCATTTTGGTTCTGGAAGCAGGTATTTCTGTAGAACCTTTATAATACTGCACAGTATATTTATCTTCTTCACAGTCAACACGTGCCAGAATTTTCAATTTCAATTTTCAAGAAATTTGAAAACTCAATTTTCAAGATTAAATGTTAGATTAGTTCAGATTGAAGGCTGTCCAGGTACTTCACAGTAAATCTAGCTTAAGCAGGTTGGGGCGTCCTGAACAAATTCTGTATCCTGTCATTACTTCCTTAACCCATAGTTTCAGCTAGTGCTATACACACACGTTATCACACGCACACAGAAACCCATCTACAAATAGCCTCAACTTCTCTTAAAACTATTCACATAAAACAGAAATTTCATCAGCAAGGTACACAATCCCTAAGAAATTTACCTACCAACTTTACTCTTGCAGATCCACTTGTGTTTGATACAACATCTGTTTCTACTTCTGCACATCTGTAGTCTTCACAGCCACGACCATCTACACGAAGGTCCTCCTAAGTATGACAATAAATATATTGTGTGTAAGGGAATCAGCAATGGAAAGTAAAAAAAAAAAAGAATCTGCGATTTTAAAGTTTCCTTGTCCTAAGCCAAACACCACAGTAAAAAGGATATAAAAGCAAAAGCTCAGAGTTTCATCGCTAACTTTCACTTGAGTACAACAGAACCAACCATGCTTTTCCATTTACCTCTCATTTCTCTAGAGCTTGCCACAAGCTCTCTGCAGACAGACATGAACTCCTGCACTAAATCCTTCCCATTCCAAAAGGCAGCTTCAGACTGCAAAAGCGTAAAGGTCTTGGCTTCAAAAGGAACATTACTTAACAAAACACGGGTCTTTCTTGGGATACTCACATTCTGTACTTTTATATACACAATTAGGACACGGCAGACAAAAATAACCTGACAACCTTCCCAATGGTTTCATCTGTTTGTGCTTCAAAAACCGATGTTACGTACTCTCAGATACTATGCAGCTCATCCCTATAGCAGTTTTCTCTGCAGTAAAATACAGTTTCTGGACTTTACTGACAGTACAGGCCTTTCATCTTTGGCATTTCTCCCCACACGCCCTTCACTCCTCCACCTTGGTCCTCTCACTGTTCCTTAGCTAAGTGACATGCTAAAACTCTACACAACGGCAAAAACTCGAGAAAAAGCAAGAGGAGAGAGGAGGACAAGAAATGGAAAAGCAAACCCACACCTGTTCTCAGGCTGCCTTCTGTCCTGATGCCCTGTTCTCAGTGTGCCTGGATGATTATTAACCCAGAGATTTCTCCCCTAGACGCCAGGTAAATTCAAGTTCCCTCCCTCCCTTCCTCCTCCCAAGCTTATCCCCGCCCCACACCTGCTCACAGGGAGCAAGCCCAGGGGGGCGGGAAAGGTAAATTCAGGTAAATTCAAGTTCCCTCCCTCCCTCCCTCGTCCCTGCCCCACGCCTCACAGACCAACGCTACCACCAGCCCCAGGCACGGCCGGAC